TATCAGGATAATGGAACATAGAACCACCTACCTCCTCTCTGTAAACGTTGCTAAACTCAACTAAATTTAATTTCTGACATTGATTGGGTGGTTGACATTTGGAGTATCTAACACGTTCACCCCCATTGAAGTCGATCGTCTTTAAGCTGGTTTATCAAAGAGTGAAAAGTATTTACGGTTGCTGCACGGTGAACATGCTATTGGAACTGATTTCATTGAATAATGCTCTTCTGGGCTCAATGTGAAAGTAAGATAGCGGGAGATTATCAGCGCTAAAGCGATATAGAACATCAGAAAAGGCGCCAGAAACAATGCCATTATTGATTATATTTGTATGGATGAATATTTTGTCGATAGATCGTGTGATATCTGGAAGATTTTTCTCAATCTTCTGACTGAGATTGACTATACAGCCGCTAAGAAACGCAAAGGTACTAAAAGAGATACTTAAGCCACAAATCAGGACAACTACGAAAGGCTATTTGTGAATTTGTGTATAGCTTTGACATTAATGTTTGCTGTAGCCTATCACTGAAGTATGCAATATGTCTCACCCTATAACGCTACTGGAAATCTAAATAAATAACGTGTTACGGTTTTAGAAATGACTTAAAACATTATGAAAAAGACTACTAATGATTTTTAGTTTCTTTCTTTCTTTCTTTCCTCCTTCCTTCCTTCCTTCCTTGTCCGTTATTATTTTTTGCAACAGAAGCTGCTCCCCTTAAAGAGAATCCAGATGAAATTATGACGAGTCGAGTGGTTTGCCGAGTGGAAGCAGCGGTATGTTGGATGAAAAAAGGCGCAAACGTTTCTTTTTATTTTATTTAATTTAATTCTTTCTTTCGTTTTTTTTTCTGAATGTGCTTCCTATTAGATTCTCAGGTATTATCTATCGCACAGCGTTCAACTCTCTTTCTTGCGGGCACCTCAATGACCGACGGTAATTTGGCCCCTCAAAGAAAAAAATGGTTATCGTTTTAAAATGTGCTACAGATCGTATACTGCTATAACAAATGTTTATATATTTTTGTTATTTAGACTTTTTACTGCTATCCTAATTGGGTAAACTATTATATCGAGAGAATAAGAAGGCGCACACTACAAAGAAAGTGATTCGAAATTAAAAAGAGCTGTTCAAGCTTCTTCCCTTCCAAATTAATTTCATTGTTAAGGTTAAATGTCTTTACCATTTTTTTTTGCAGAATGTGACCTACAACTCAGGGACACTTATTGCCTCAATGGTGGGACATGTTTCAGGTTTCCAGGCCCGGAGAAGACCCCGAACACAGGTCCCCATTGCGTTTGCCCGATGGGTTTTGAAGGGAAAAATTTTTAACCAATTGTAACTGAATTTAGGTAATTTGCTCGATTGCAGAACAGTACGCGAAAATTAAAGCCGCCGGTTGTTCAGAGCTGTTTTCCTCTACATTGCATTTATATTTCCGTGCGGTAGAATAGACGTTGAATGCGCACGTCTAATTTAATTGTGCAACTCAAGTTGGTGACGATTACAGAAAAAGATAGAGGAAAAGCGACTTAAGTTTGTGCCTGATTTCATCTTTACTTTATGTGACAAGACGAGGGATAGTTTCCCATTTGCTGATTCTCCACACTACCATATGCGTGAAAAAGCTTTAGATGACGCGCATGATTTTAGATCCACAGAACAGACTTCGACTAGGAGAATTTTTCAAGGAAACCTAACAGAAAACAATGGCCAGAAAAAGGGAGCTGTTAAAAATCCGAGGGAGGCCAATTTTTTCGGTTTCCCCAAAATAGACACTGATAATGGCTTGCCAGCCGCTCTAAATGGTTGTTGTTGTTGTTACTGTTTTTTTTTAAGGTAGTGATAAAAAAGTCGCGATAATCCCTACCGCTTATTTCGCGCGTGCCTAAATGAATTGTATCAAAATCACGTGTCGTAAGTGAACCTAAAAGCGCAGAAAAGTGCTTATTTTGAGAGTTCGTTTCGAGAAGTTCACTCACACTCTCTAAACTTCCCACGTGCATCCATTACTCGATACACGCACGCTAATCACGGACCAATTCTTTTATGTAACAGTCACCTTGTTAATATAACCACCTTCAGGCCGAGAAAATGAAGTTGTAAATGGAGGCAATCCCGTTCGAAGACTTCGACGAAATCAACGAAATCTCTGTTAGAAATATCAAGAAAGCATGCATGAAACACTACGGTATGTCGGAAACGATGTCCTGCGATGCACTTGCAGGGGAACAGGGACTCTCTTGTTCCTCTGTAAAACAGTTGCCAACGTTAAAAAGGATCCATGGGCGATTCATAGAAGGCAAAGTCAAGGACGCTCCGATTGAAGTTTCCGCGGGGGTCGGTGGGCGGCGGAAGCGATAGATCAGCGACATTTCCCATGGTGAGAATGCCGGGCATGGAAAGACTGGGGCTGCTGTCACATCAGTACCTCAAAGAGCGTCATTTCAAATTCCATGCAAGTTTGTCCCGCAAAGCCTGTCGGTTGTTGACATGCTAAAATTGGGAAAGCTCATTACCGATACCACAACCTCCGCTGAGATCTTTAATTTTGACATGTCGGTAATGGCGCGCACCGGAAGACCAACAACCGTGGATTTTTCTATTGAACCTGAGCCATTTGGAACTGGTGGATTTCGTAAGGCGTTCAAAGCGACTTCCAATGACAGAGGATTCAATGGCTCAACATGGGTGATACATGAAGAGGGTTGTTGAAGTCCTAAATGTAATAACTGTCCTAAATGTAATAAAGTCCTAAATGTAATAACATTTGGTCCTAAATGTAATAAATCCCTAAATGTAATAACGTTCGGTCCTAAATGTAATAAGCCTCCTATGCAATCGTTTAACTGCGCTAACATTGAGATGTTAAAGTGACAGCTGTTACACCAAAGAATCCTCTGACCAATATTTATGGGATATTGCGGGCTCACTGATATTAATCAGCGGCTTTTTATTTGTTAAAGACGTAGGTTGAGAAGCATTGGCTACAAAACCTTATTCTAATACTGATGTGCTTTTGGCATCAAATTGACGGACGCAGAAGCAACGAGAACGTTGACAAATAGCTCTCTCTATATCATTGGCTCAGACTCTTAAGTGTAACAGATTTTGACGAAATACTTCTGTCCTCAGTGCTGAAGTTAACACTTGATGAACCAAGTTACAAGGAAAAAGAAGTCCACCGACTTATACGTTAGACAAATTTTGGGCTCAGAAGGGCATTTTTTGTACTGTCTTCCCTTGCCAGATTTGTACGGGTTTGCATAAAATATATTCATATGCGTTATTGACCGAACGTGAGGTCAAAATGGCTATATATTGGCCGAGTTCTTTTTTTTTTTTTGCGTTTTTATGGACTGAGACGAATTCACGGTCCGTAAAAAAAGTAGAAAAAGAACGAGGCTAATATCCAGTAATCTTGACCATACAAGAGAGTTTATATTCTCTTGGCTTAATCATTAAAGGATTCATTGTATAGCAAAAGATTTCGCTTTGATAAGAATCAAGAATGGCCTGTTTATTTCGAGAGCCGATAGTGAAAGCCAACTGTGTTTGCAGCACAATAAACCCAAGAGGGTCGTTTATTTTTTCTATGCATATATGAAAACATTATCCAAAAGTTACGAACTTTGTAAGTTTTCTTGCGTGGGATCAATACGGGGGATCCCGAACGGGCGAGGGTGGACCCATCATGCCCGCTCAGGTAGCCAATCAGAACACAGGATTCACTTCATCTTGCCCGCGTGCGCTGCTAGCTATATGATAATGTGACTTGCAGAGCAAGATATCGACTGACCAATGATATGTTATCCCATTTCACGATCACAGGTCTCGACATGTTGCCTTTTTTCCAAGCAAGAGTCAAATTGAACCATTGAGCTACACCATTCAACACATGATGGTCAGTTGGCAGTCTAATGAACCATTCATTTTTTTCCTTTAGCCCCTTATGACGGGTTCATCAGTTCCCGAACCGAAATATTAGGAAAACATACATTTTAAAGTTTATCTCAAGTTTGTATTTCATTTTTTGTCTTCACCTCTTCTCCCCGCCGTGAGGGGAGAAAATGAATAGATAAATAGATGAATGAAAAAAGAAAGCTCAACAGTTTCCACTTATAGTCATATGGTACATGAACTGATTACTGAGGTGGAGTAAAGCCATAGAGGGCTGGAAATGCAACACCCCAGGTTCAAAATTGAATAAATCAGGATAGTCATTCTTAAAAATGAACTCAAATGCTTCATTAGAATCAATTGACACTGAATAACATTAATGTGCAAAATTTCAATAACGCTACTGATAATAATAATTTTCTTTTGGATTAACATGTGACACAGCGAAATCATTCAAACTGCTCTCAAATGGTGCATCACTTCTAAAGACTTTAACACGAACGATAACATCAACAATAGCATGCTAGTTCATCATCAATTGTAGTAAATTTCTTTCCCAAAAAGTCTTAATGGTTACGTACCAATCGATTCCATCCTATTGAGCTTCCAGCCAAGCACTAGCCCACATTGGGCTGGAAATGATTTTCTTCAACTCGATCAATAAACCGCTATAAGGACCATACTTCGACTGCTGATATTTCTTATGTCTAGCAAGTAAAAAGACGCTGATTGATATCAGCGGGCTCATAATGTGACATGTATACTGGTCAGCGGTTTTTTTGGAGCAACAGCTGTCACTAACATATCAATGTGGATGTCCGCCATAACAACAATGCACTGCAGGAGTTAAACGATTGCATAAGAGGCTTATTACATTTAGGACTAAATGTTATTACATTTAGGACTTTATTACATTTAGGACCAAATGTTATTACATTTAGGACTTTATTACATTTAGGACAGTTATTACATTTAGGACTTCAACAGAGGTATCTAGAAAAGGCTGCGGTCGACATCATTGCTTCACATCGGAGGGGAAATTCCGCCAATATATCAACAACAACAGTGTCTGGCAAACGTCTCATATAAACGGTCAGAGAGAGAGGTGATGTTGCTGGATATTCAAGTCTGTGAAAGTTGCCTTTTTGACCTGGGGAGCCCTTTCGGCGAGAGCATCTGGATCTACATTGTACATTACGACATATACAAGATCCCGCGGGACGTTAAGCTCGTGGACCTGTCTAAGTTTTTTGTGCAACGCTCGGTAGCCGAAAAGTTTTCCCGGCCCTTCCAATTCTTGCTTTAATGCCTCTTCAACCTCGTCGACCTGAACGGATTGGTCTGTGTATTTGATGCCAGAGTAGTCCAGTCTTCTGTCTGGCGTCCTTAAACTCCACGCATACTCACTAAAATCCCTTGAAACAAAGTCTTAAAGTTCAATTCGACGAAGATTTTGCTTCACATAACCACCTAACGCGTTTTTTAACTCCTTGTCTTCTCCTCGTCTGCTAATCGTTGATTCTAATACGAGCAGTCACCATTTTAAATAGGAGCACGATTTTACCCGAAAGGCTCTCTGGTCTCTGGCAAAGCTAGGCCAAGAAGATAATTTTTTTCGCTATGGCAATGTTAGGCCATGACCAATTTTTTTCGTTTTAGCTATTTTTTCCCCTATGGCAACGATAGGACATGAAAAATTTTGCTCTGACCTTTTTTAATTCCATTTTAAATTGTTTTTAACAACTTTTCACAGAAAATTAATTATAATTTCGCTCCAATTTTTTTTAGTTCCCGAAATAATTTACTTCGGATTTAAAATTACTTTCATAAAATATTATTTTCAGTAAAAAACAAAAAGGCATAAAACAAAAAAAGAAAACAAAAAAATAAAATAAAAATAAAATATGGATATACAAGAAAATTGTTGAGACATTGGGTTTTTTGTTATGGCAGTCTTACGACACCATGGTTCACCTTTTGACTTGTTAAAGATTTCGTGCGTTTAGAGTATGGATTTGGTTAACATCACAGTACTATGCCTTCTTACGCTCGCTTCAGCCGGTAGAAGAGTAGAAATAAGGGCTGGATTCTAATGTTCAACTTATGCCTATGAAATTTCCGTGCTCTTGGATTATTCCTACCCAATGAAGCGTTCACTAACTTATATAAAAAACATCTATAAAATTGCTTGCTGAATTTTTTTGCACTCCTACACATGGCTCACTAACAAGTACAAAGAACATCATCTTTGCCATTTCGTGATTGTATTATAGTTATATCATTTCTCTTTCCCTAGCATGTCGTCCCTGGAGATAAATAGCAGCGAATCCTGTGGACCTGTGCAACACAGGCTCCCATATTCCCAAGAACTTACTTTTTGGCCGTAATCTGCTTTCAAAAATGAGATTCAGTCACACCACAACTGTGCTTGATCCTTAAAGTAGTTTATTCTGACGAAATTCGAGGTCGAGATCGTTATCGTAAACTACAGAAAGCCCTACATTATTGTTATGCCCCTAAATTACGATACAGAAAATACTTCAATGAGGATAAAAAAAAGTTCTAAAGGAATATTCCAGCCGCTACTGCAGCTCTCTTGATACTGATTGACGAGTATACTTAAACAGCGATCTTTCTGATACGAATCAATGTGACAAACAGTGAGGAACACTTCTTTACGGTAAAGTAGCACCAGCCACAAATAATTAAAATACAAAAAACCAGCTGGTAAAGTTCAGTATATTGCGAACAAAACGTGCTGACATAAGATAGCTAATAAAAGAATTACAGAAAGTGGCTGAGAAATAGTTAACAGGCTATTTGAAGTTACGTTGTTTTGGAACCTGCAATTCGCGCCATTTCACGCAACTCACTTTCTTCTGTGTTCACCAAAGTGTCAAATTTGTCGAACTCTGCTACCGTTCCATGTTTCAAAAGTAAAATTTTATCACAATCTTTGATGGTGTTCAATCGATGAGCTATAGTGATGACCGTAGAGTCTCTCAGTTTTTCACGCACTACGCCCAAGATTGTTTTTTCTGTTTCTGGATCTACATTTGCAGTGGGCTCATCCAAGACGATGATCTTGTTTCGTTGCAACAGCACACGGGCCAAACAAATCAACTGTCGTTCTCCAACACTGATATTTGCACCATTTTCCAACAGTTCGTGATCAAGTTGCCCGTGAAGACTTTTCACTGATTCTTTCAGTTGCACATCTTCTAGAACTTGCCATAAATCTGCATCTGTAAACTGCTCAACAAGATCCAGATTTTTCCTCAGTGATCCATTAAACAGTACTGGACTTTGGCCAAGGACGGATATACATCGTCGAGTTTCCTGGAGGTTGATTTCCTTCACCGGAATCCCATCAATGACTATTTCATCACACGATTCAGGCATGCGCATTAGAGCTGCCACAAAAGATGACTTTCCAGCACCAGTACGGCCAGCGACACCGATCTTTGTTCCTCCTTTGATATTGAGTTTGATATTCTTCAACACTTGTGGTCCTCCCGGATAATATCTCAAGGATACTTCTTTGAATATGATATTTCCTACATTTGGCCAGTTTTCCGGGGGCCGTCGTTCTATCATATATCCAGGCTCACATTCAAGCTTGGTGTATGTAATAACTCGTTCAACTGACGTCATTAGATTCTCGACCTCTGAGGTTGTTCGGATGGCGTAATGAGACCGCGCAAGTCTTTGAACAACGTAAGCCAAGGCAAGTCCAGCAAAAGCTAATTAGACGAAAAATTGAAACTAAAAATTAACCAAAGAAGATTTTAACTGATTTTCCACTCTAAACAGTCAAAAAATAGTCTTGTCACGCCCTTGCCATGGAAAGTTAAAACAAGGCAATACAGGGGGTTTTCCTGAGAAGATTCATTTATGCGGACTACTGCATAAAGTTGGCATGAGGGAGGCCTGTTTGTTGGGAAAAAGATGCGATTAGAGCAAAAAATGGGTGCGAGGAAATTGCACCGATAAGAGTCAATCAGATTGTAAGGATCACCAGTGATTTAAAAAATGGATGTAACAAAGTATTTACTCCACTTTACGACTCGATTGACCACTAGTACTTAAAATTACGCACAATATTAATCCTTGTTTTCCCTCAGTTCTGAGCGAATGTAATGTACTACACCTTCCACTGATCACCTGAAATCTGATGAGACTCTGTAAGTATTTGGGTTTTCTTGCGCCTTCGGTCACTCAATCGAATTAGGGATTGGCTTCTTTTTGTAATACAAACTCACCGGCATCTTGAGACATAATAACAGCTGAAAAAGCCACTGCACCAACAAATAAGGATGTAAGAATTTCAAATCGCACACTGATCCATTTCCCACCGGCCATTACCAAGATGTTTGCTTGATTCAGAACATCATGATGTCTTTAAGAAAGCAAGTGAACAGGACAAAATTAGTGGGTTATTCATTGCTTTCTGATCATTTGAACATATAGGGGATCAGAAACAACGTCTATCTGAGATGACGGAAGGCTCTTTACCAGCTTCTCGTCTCTTCTCGGGGAGGAGCGAAGACCGGACACGAGAGATCGGCGGAAATCGAGCCGAGGATGTCAGGTGCCCGTTTTGTTCTGAGGGAAATACTATTACCTTGCAGTAACTATTTATGGAAATGACGATATGGCGTCTTTCTTTTATCTCTATAAATCAAGTAGTTCATGCCTGAGAATCCATTGCCAAGATGCAAGTTGTATAAAATTAATTAAGACGAGGCAAACCCACCTGTAAAACTGATCCACAAAATCACTTTGTCGCTCTCTGGTCCGAATCGTCTCCAGTCCATCAAGGGTCTCCGAAATGTGAGAGAATACTGGACTACGACTTATGGACGCTAACCTCTTAAGTTCCCTGGATGTCTTCAAATAATACGTGGACAGGTATATTGCAACCGAAATCAACGGTATAAGTATGAAAATAAGCCAAGGATTCATAACAGCTGGGACAATTAGTGATGCAAGCACATTTAAGGTTGAGTCAATCGCCAGTTGAAATTTCCTTGGTAACTGCTCGTCCAACCAGCCGATATCTTTCGAAAATCGATTAAGGATTCTTCCCACGGAATTCGAATCAAAGAATAAAACAGGAGCTTGTAAAGTAGCAACGACCATCTTGTCATGAAGACGCTCAGAGCATCGCAAGAAGCAGGAGAGTAATACATATGTTCTTGTCAATATAAACATGAGGGATACAACAGCAAGACATCCATAGATAACTAAGTTTGATTGATCTTTCTGATCTTGAGGGAGTTTCTTTGTCAAGAACGAGAGCCACACGTCGGGAGCAACCAACATCCCTGGGTGGAAAGAGAAAGAAAAGTTAAGTAAGACTCAGGCAAAAACTTTTTATGTGTTGATTGTCTTTCGTATAAAACGGAACTAATATTTTAATTGCTGACTTGATGTATCTTAGATACACACACACTGATACTCGTTAGGAAAGGCGAAGAAACTATTTTTGCATCCAATGTATTTCAAATCGGAACAAATTCAACATTTTTTATCCTTGCCGGTAGGTCAATATTAGATAGGAATGTTGAGATTTACGAGGGATAATTTACACCCTCTAATTACAGAGAGAAGTAAAGCATGCTGCAAATGCAATCCAGTCTTGGATTACTTTGGACTCTAAAATTAAATTTGGGAAATCATGGCAAGCTCTTTCTGAGAGGCTGTTTTAAAGTCGTACCTTGGGCTACTAAAGAGAAAAGGATTATCGTCAAAATCATCCAAGTTGACATTCCGCTTCTGAAATAGTCCCAGTAAAGCTTGGAAGAGATTGCACCGATTTCCCGATCTTCTTGTGGCATCATAAGACTCCTGGTTTCTTTCGACGGAGATTCCATCTCAGCCAAGCAGGCAGCAGCTCCAACACTTTCATTTTCGTTCTCTCTGACAAACTTCTCACCTGTATTGTCTTTTGAAATCTTCATATAGAGCGGGTCAATAGTTTTATTAAGGATTCCTTTGTCTTGCAGCTCCAGGAAACTCCCTCTTTCCAGCACACGCCCCTTACACAATATAATCACTTCATCAGCGTCTTTCATGTGGTCTTCTTGATGAGAGGTCATCATCCGAGTTTTATCGCTTAATAGTTCTTTGATACACTTTTCAAATATGTGTCGTCCAACTTTGAAGTCCACGGCGCTCAGAGGGTCGTCCAAAAGATACACATCTGCATTAGCGTACACTGCGCGTGCTAAACTAACCCTAGCCCGCTGACCTCCGCTCAAAACAACACCTCGTTGGCCGACAAGCGTTTGATCAGTATCAGGAAACTGCTGGAAGTCGTCAGTCAGAGCGCAGGCCTCAATTACTCTGGTGTATTTTGAATCATCGTATGACAAACCAAACAAAATGTTGGCTCGTATGGTTCCAGAGAATACCCAAGCTGTCTGCGGAACATACGCTAAAGATCCTCGGCAGGATAATTCTTCGTGTGTGCATGGAACTTCACCAGCGATCACAGAAAGAAGAGTAGATTTCCCACTACCAACTGGCCCGGTAATGACTGTTAAACTACTTGCAGGTGTGCAAAACTCGATATCTTGAAGAATGTAGGAGTCTTGTCGCTCCATTTGCTTGTACGCCAAACTTCTCACACGCAATACCGTTTGATCTTGTGATTCATTCAAAGTGGAAGAGCCTCCCATATTTTCCTGGCAATCTACTGAACTCCTCTTTATCTCAGATGAGTTCCTCGCTTCAATCTCTGTTTCTTTTCGGCTTGAACGATCACTTGAACTGATTTGCAAATTTTTCAAAAGGAGAAATTCCTCAATTCTGCCAAGCGAGGCGTAAGCTTCGTATCCCTCTAACAAGGCAAACCCGAGGAAAGTGCCGATACATTTCGCGAGCATGTTGTTAAATGAAATCAACACAAAAACGTTGAATGGTGTCAGAGTTTCTTCAGTCAGCACAAGGGTAATGACTGACAACAGTGTTGCAATGATGACAGAAGTGAATCTTAGAGCCAAAACACCTGCGCGTAGAACACACATCTTTTGAATAATGGCAATTTCATCTCTGGAAAAAAAGACAAGTAAAATTGGGATATTTTGACAACGATTTAGTCGATGACATACATACTTAGTGGTCTTGGTGTTCTAGGCGATCTTATTGGTTCAATATATGAAGTTTGTACCATTCAGAAAAAACTACTATCATGCATAATAACTCATTTCGCACGAAATATGGAAGTAGTGGCACAAAATATGGAAATGGTGGGCTGTTAAATAAGAAATAGGCTTGCTTTCATTTGGCCAGAAGTACAATTAGAATCGAGTAAGAACAAAAACAACATTATTTCATCAATGGGCGTCTTAAACAGCCTGCATGAAACTTGAGTTCTGTATCGAGCAATTAGTTTCATAATATCTTTACATACCTTCGTGGTTTCTTGATTTGTTGCCGGTATTCATCTTCCCACGCATACATTTTGATAGCACGTATCCCTGAGACAACCTGATTCATCAGAGAGATGCGTTGGTCAGAGACCGCTGCTGTTTGCAATCGCAGAACCGCGCCCCCTTTGGACAGTAAGACGAAATATGGAAGGAGAAGATACAAAAAGAGTACTCCCATGAGAGACTGCCAGCCAATGTAGTACACCATCAAAAACGGAACAATGAGGAGCTCAATTAATGTAAGGAAACCAAAAAAGATCCACTTGATTGTCTCTCCTTCCAAACGCTGAACATCGTTTGAAACCAGGTCAATCACTTTACCTGTTGTGTACTGTAATAATGCGTCTTTGCTGAGTAAAAGTGTCTGGAAAAGAGGAATAATTTCTTTTTAATAAAACGTGAGCACGGTTATTGAATTTTTAACCTTCTGATTGGCAAAACGCAGTCATGTTGTGAGCTTACACAGTAGCTCCGAGTTCACAGCTTAATTCCGACAAATATGGTCAATTGTGTGAGCAAGCCGTGAAGCAGGGCGTAAAAATTTAAAACACGCATTGAAGGTATTCCATTGTCCTAAATCTTTTTACACGTCCGCGAGAAAACAAGAAGGCACATTTTACGTAACAGCCTAACTCAAGTCGATCTGAGCAGTCTCTTTGCTCGCCTCCCCTATGTAAACAGATTAATTTCCACGTGAATACGTCTCAGTTTTAGCTACTTCAGACTGCGCAAAGCTTTGTGAACTTTAAGAACGTCGACTTTCTTTCACAAGTACGAAGTTATCCGTCGTGTTATATTTATTTTTGGAATGGAATTTGCTTTTTTCTTTCGGTCGTTGTCAAACCAAAGAAAAGCTTGTTAGTAGTAAGAGCTAATAATCAGTTGTGTGCGTTTTTACGAAAACAATTATCCTATTCAGACCCTCGCCTGACGACTGAATTATTACATCCTCTACATTTTATAGAAGTAAGGTACCTACCTTATGATATATAAGACCATTCAGAGCACTTCTCAGGGTTATTCCCATTAATTCACATCTGTACATAAGCGTTTGAGATGAAACTTTCTGCATCAAAGAGCTGATACTCAGAGCCAGCGCACAACCATAGAGAAACATTTTCTGCTGTGGCTCCGTAGACATCAGCGATGAAATTAGATATCCAAGGAGCAAAGGAGAGGGAATACGGAAGAATGAGCGAAAAATACCCATGCAAATGAGTATCATAACTTCCCTAAAGGAGATTGTTAGTGTGACGCTTTTCCAAAGCTTTGGTCGTCCTCGCGGAGTTTCATGGCATTTTCTCTCTTCCTCCCTCCAGTTCTCCTGAAGATTTTCGGTTACGAATGACGTACGATTTTCTTTTGAAAGAGGTAAAAAATCACTTTGCTCCAACGCTCGTTGTTTGCCTGTTTTGAAGACACTGCTCATCCACTGGTAGAGAACATAAGAAACAAAGCCAACCTTCTGCGGAGCCTTTTCGTCGTCTTGCGAGATCTTGTTATACCCGTGCCTTGTCATCTCCAGTTAAGTAAAGCTGCACTCTAAGATAAGAAGGAGAACATGAATTAAGTCAAAACACAGACCATCAACTGTAAGTTCAAATCACAAATATATAGACAACTATTATAGCATAGACATGCAAGAATTGTCTTTTGAGAAATGCATAGAGAAAATAAAATATCAACAGCGATTTTGCTGATAATTTTACAAATATAGAGAGATGTCTAAACTAAAAGCAGTAAACAATCATGTTACATGTTACCAAGTTATTAGCAGATCTATGGAAAGTTCTATGCACTTCTATTATAACTGAACATCTTACATTTTACCATGTTAATAGAAGATCTTTGGAAATTTCCATGCACATATCTGGATCAATTTAAAATTGATCATCTTTCATTTCGCCGTATTAATAGAAGATCTATGCAAATTTCTATACACATTTCTGCATCAATTATAACAT